CTGACTGCCATTCCCTGGAGAAGGATGTCATGCTTGGTAGGGTGGAGGGTCGACAAAAGAGGGGGAGGCCTTCAACGAGATGGATTGACATGGTGGCTGCGATGATGGACTCAAGTATAGCAGGGATTGTGGGGCTGGCACGGGATCGGGCAGTGTTTCGTTCTGTTGTGCATGGGGTCGCTATGAGTTGGAAACAACTCGACAGCACTTAACAGCAACAACATAGTTACAGAATTTTAAGAAATAAACATGTTTTTTTAGTTGACAGTGCTTGGACAGAACCAGCCACAACTATACCACCTACCACACCTGTAACTGCAGGTAAGGACCAAGAGGTACCCATTTTCTCATAAGAAATGTTTGCTTTGAAATTATGTTATTTCAGCTTTATTTATTTTATAATACTAATTAGAAAAAAGGAAACTCCTCCCTTTCTTCCCTGGCATGCCAGTTCACATTTCACCCTGTCAGAACTTCTCCACATCTTCACCCCTAAATGCCAGTCGGTTTTGTAGCCCACAGATCTCACTGTTAGATCTCTGCAGCTTTTCCGTCCTGTCCTTGTCTTGGATTCCTTTTAACCTTTCCTAGGATGTTAGCATAGCACCCCCCCCCCAGGGTCATTGTCCTCCTCAGTGACTTCTTTGGCTCTCTGTTGAGAATTAGTCTTGCCACAGTTTCCTTGCATTTCAATAGGTAATTAAGACGTGGCTGCTATATTCTTCCTACACAGCTGTTTCCTCTCTCAGCTTATTTTCCCTCTAATAAATGTCCAAAAGCATGTCAGAGTCAACACATTTGACGATATCACTTATTTTCCTTCTTAAAACCTTCCATGGCTCTCCATTACCTATTCTTGCATCCAGCTGTCCATCCAGCCATTACTTGGTAAATCTTTGTTGAGCCCTTCTTTGTGCCTCAGAGTCTCTTTATCATAACATCCAGGATCTTTCATGATTGAATTCTGTCTTATCTTCCCTGCTTCAGCTTTATTTTCCGTGCTTCCTCCATTTCTTCCTGTCCTGCAGAGCTCCCAGCCCTGCATGTGAGAAGTTCTCTCCCCTTCCCACTGCCTGGTACCCTCCCCCAATTTTGTCTGGTAAATGTCAATCTCCTACCTTCTCTGTGACACTTCTACTATTTTTGTTAAGCATTGATCACTCTGTATCTCTAAGATCTAACACAGCCTGGCATATAGTGAAAGCTCAATGACTGTGCACTGAATAAATGAATGAATGAAGAGAAGGGAGGGTCAGTAGAGATGGACAGAGTGAAGGGCAGTTAGGGAAGGAGGGAGAGGATAAATTGGAAAAATTAGAGAACAAGTACCTTAGGAAGTGAGAATAAATGTGCCAGAGAAGATGGATGAAGGTGTTGGATGGATATAAGAGAAAGGATAATATGCGTGGGCTGAGGGGATAGAGGCATAGAGGTGAAAGATTTGTGCTTTGAGTGACAAATGTTAGAAGAAAAATGGAGGGACAAATGAGTGGAGTGTGTGTTGGATGCTGGATCACACACTGAAGGTGAACCAGACTTGGTCCTCAATGTCCATTACTCCAACAGAGTGCTGGGCTGAAGTTCTCATGCACTTGCTTACTTGCTTCCCTTTGGTCTCCATGGGCTGGTTTTGTGTGTTCATGGGCTCCTTCCCAGTTCTCTTCAGTATATCTAAACAGATTTGATAATTTTGAGGGGTTCATAAGGCACTTTGTAACTTTGTCTTAAAACAATTTCTGTTTGCTACCAGTAGGTATCATGGCTTCCCATCAGCTACTGCAGTGGGTTTGTTTTTTCTCCATGAGTCTATTTGATGGAGAAAACGCCATTGAATGATAAGAGTTGCTATTTCCATAAATAGGTCCTGTGGCTCATTATGGAATGTGATGGGTTAAAAGTTCTTTAATCCTTGGTTGTGTTTATTCTAGTTTTCCGAACAGGAATCAGAAACCTGGTTGTAGATGATGAAACCACTTCTAGCCTGCGGGTAAAATGGGACATTTCAGACAGCAGTGTGCAGCAGTTCAGGGTGACCTATCTGACTGCTCAAGGGGACCCTGCAGAAGAAGTGGTAGCAACGGTCTGTATAAATATAGCTGACTGGAAATTCTATGGAGTTCGGTGACTAACAGAGCTAACAAGTCTATCTTGAGAGGTCAATGCAAGCTTTACTGCCAATTTCTTGGTCACTCTGCTATCTCCAGAAACTAATGTTCCTGGTTAATCCAAACTTTACTCTTGGTTTCTTGATGACCTTTCTATCTCCAAAACCTTCTCCATACCTTATTGCTTCAAGTTGATAAAGCTTCTGCACCTGGTTCCCAACCTTGCTTTTGCTGCCTTGACTTCCTATCAGACCACCAAATTTAGGTCATCAGAAGTTCGTTTTACCCTTGTATGTCTGTGTTTGTGTTTGTGTGTATATAAACCAGATGCTGTGAAGTCAATTCCAACTCATGGTGAATCTGTGTGTGTCAGAGAAGAACTGTGCTCCATAGGGTTTTTCATGGCTGAAATTTTTGGAAGTCAATTCCCAGAACTCTTTTTTTCAAGGAATCTCTGGCTAGACTTGAACCTCCAACTTTTCCCTTACCAGCCAAATGTGTGAGCTGTTTTTACCACCCAGACTCTATATATATGAAAATTTTTAAACTTTTTTTTTTACCCTTGGGAATCTGATAAAAAGTTTTTAAGCAAAGCACACATGAATGGTAGGTAGTCCTTATGTAGTTTAAGTGTTCCTAATTAAATGCCATCTATTCGTTAATAGTTAATTAAATAGTTTTATTTTTCACTGACATCAATTCATGCTGTGCAAATTTATTGTCATTTCTCACTTATTTTTAATCACAAGTGTCTCCTGTGAGGGATTTTGATTTTTATATGCTGAGTTTTCTTTGTTTATCTCTATTTCTTTTTCTAGATGCTTAACTTTGTATACTTCTAATGCTTTCCCATGTTGTCTAAATTTTCAACGTATCATTCTTTTTAGTCTAGAACCCTGAAATGGGTTCCTAGACATGTTTTTCAGACAAGCTGACTTCAGTTTGCATTCAAAAGAAACTTTTCTTCCTGGTCATGGAATTTGCTTTATTTGGCCTCATTACTTGCATTTCTTGCCCTCTGTTGCATAATTTTTGAGCTATTCTAGGAAAAAAGTCTCCACAATTCACTATTGCTTAAGAATAACATCATTATTTTTCCTTCTTCCTTATTCACAAAGCTTTTTATAGAAATAATTATTTTTATATTGCTAATATAAACAAGTATTTGACCCCAAACTGTTTTAGGCAAGTACTTCGAAATTTCAAGCTAATAGAGGAAATAGAACACAGTGATAGCCTGGTGTAAAGCCACACCCCCCAGGAACAATCAGAAGATCCATAGATTTGGCCTAGGAGTACTTGTGGAAGGTTAATGAGCGCAGACAAAGCAGGCCAAGTTAGGAATTCCCTTCGACCGTATGTTTCAGGGGATCCATGATAGGCAAATCCAAAGATATTAAAATTGTCTTTAGAAATGGTAATTAAGGATATGATTTGGAGGTCTTATTTCACCTGTTTTGGTCTTTGTCTTGCAATTTTTTTCTTAAAAATGAGACCCGTGAAAATTCTCCAGAATGAGAACTGGTTCTTCTGTTTTAACTCTTTCCAAGAAACACATTAAGCTTCTTGGTGAATTAGTCTTACTAATTTGGAGAGGGTAACCATTGAATCTCATGCATGCACTTGTAAACTATGCAAGGTAAGGTGGTATTTTCTTTGGGTTGTCTCTAGGTATTTTTCTCCTTGCCAGTTCCTTTCATTTCCCACTGCTTATTTTTGAAGCATGTGGACACCTAGATGAAAGAAAATAGATCAAAAGTGCCCCAGTTAAACAAACTCTTAATAAAAATGAAAAAATATTGAGAAAGTTTGTGATAAATATTTGCCATACAGACTATTACTCTTAGCATAAAACCTGCAAAAGCTGGCACCTGTGTAAGGTGTGAGAGAAGGAAGATTCAGATATTTCCCACTAAACAGGGAGTGATAGAAAAGTGGTAAGACTGCCCTCTGTCAAAGGCCAAAAACTTGTGAGACCTGGAAAAACAGGGCAATCCTGGTCGACTTCCGGCTCTCACAGGTTTTATTTTTTGCTACACAGACGGAAGCACCATGGAAGACCTTAAATATCGAGCTCCTTTGATGCATTTCATCTGGATTGGATTTGTATAAAATTGCTCTGCACACATCTTTTCAGGGACTCATCTGAGGATAAATCAAGAATTTATACCTCAGTGATTTACAAAGTGTTACTGCTATACAAACATAATAAATTATTGGAGACAAAAAGTGGGGTGCGTCTAAATTTAGGCTCTAGAACCAAGGTAAGACAGGCAGTTACAGACTAGGCCAAAGTCCAAGGATCTGAATTCCCACTGACCAAATAGATATCTTAAAGTGATGACACGTGGCATGGATAAACAGCTGGCCAAAGCAAACCACAAAAGGAAGGAAGGAAAGTGCCTGAGTAAGAAAAATCCCCCTCCAACCACCTTTCTGGGAGCTCTGCTGGCATAGTGCCTAAGGCATTTGACTGCTAACCAGAAGGCCAGAGGTTCAAATCCACCAGCCACTCCAAAGGAGGATTGGGCATCTACTTTCATAGTGATACCGCCTCAGAAACCCAAGGAGGGGTTGCTATGAGTCAGTACTGATTCAACGGTAGTGAGTTTGGTTTGTTTTTTTTTGGAACCACCTTTCTTATCTTTCCTTAACTATACAAGCTGATGTATTTAAATGAGGAAAGCACAAGACAGAGTACTGAAGTTGAACAGTGCATGAATGTATAATGCTGTAAACCAAAGTTCAACTTTTTAATATAGGTAAAACAAGGTGAATTAAATTCACTTTTCCAATTGAGGTAAGTGAAGGAGGAATATATTTAACTATAATAAAAGTCAAACAAACATTCCCAATAAAAAACATTTGCACTCTTAGAAAAGAAAACCACCTGTCACATGTTTCATAAGCATTGACTTTTAATTCTGTTCTGAAATATGGAGAGTGGCAATGACATTGCTCCAAGGTTTGTTTCCACAGTAGAAAGGTCTCACACTTACTTATTTGGGAAAGGCTAGTTAAGATTCCAGAGTCCTCTAGAGCTTAGAGGTCGAAATCCATAACCATGGCCTGAATTTTAAGTTGGAAGACATTTTCTACAAAAAACCTATTCAAAAGTGTGAGTCAATCTCCCACATTATAAGTACACAGATTAAGATTATATTTGTAGAAATAAAACAATTTGACTTTACTGCAACATCTAAGCTCATGATCAACTTCCTAGCAATTTATTTGCAGTGCATTTTATAAAAATTTGGTCTGCAATGGGTGGGAATTACAACAGCACCGAGTTCTTTACCACAGATTGTCTGAGACACACCATCTAGAAAACAGAGCTTTATATGGAATGAGATGTATTTAATGAGCTGTAGGGAATCCTCTTTCTATTGCAGGAAACAGCTTTTTATTTAATGAGCTGTAGGGAATTCTCTTTCTGTTGCTGAGAATAGCTTGCTGGATACGGTCCAGGCTGCTCTGAAGAGCTTGGGGCAGTAGTGGAACCAGACATGGAGTTGTGTTTCTGCAAAAAATTAAAAACAAGAAATTCACTGGTTAGATTTGCATCCCATTTAACTGTGAGCATCTTGTATAGAAGTTCTTTATAAACAAAGCACCACCTGCAGCGTCTCTTTTCAGGAGGAACTTACCTTTTCCCTGTTTTGTCCACGCAGGTAGAGAGCAAGGGGGAGAAACATTGAAAACCCATAGAAGAGATTGACATCTTACCCTTGGGAATCATTAAGGGAAAAGTTTCAAGTAATGAGTCATGTGGAGTAGAGTGAGGTGTTAAAGCAAGGCCCAGAGCCAGATTCCGAGGTTTCAATCTGACTCATTTACTCAGTAAGCTGTGTAGGCCTCTGTTTCCCATCTATAAAATGTGCCTCTTTATCTCTCTGTAAATGAGGGTGATGATACTCCTTGCCTCAAACAGTTGTGGTGAAGGTGAAATGAATTACTTTGTCCAAGTACTTAGAATATCACCTGGCATGTAATAATTGCTAGGTAAGAGATGGCTATCGTTAGCAACCAGAAGAACATCTTGCTGGATAGTTAAAAGAGCCCTTCAAAATGGTTACCCTGCTTTTCAGTGCTCCACAGTCTAAATTTGATTGGTTCCAAGGCCATGTATTTCTCAGTTTGAGAGATGGCCTTATTTAAGAGATATCCACATGGGTGGTTTGCTAGACAGACGGGTTGGCAGGAACACCCAGGCTCTGTGTTCCAGAGGAGTTACATTTAAGAGAAACGCCCTGAAGGAGGCTCCATCAATGGGGTGATACAAGTCGGGGCAACCACACTTCCTCTTTACACATCCCTAATGGCAGGGTTGTCTGATCATTCTAGGATAAAGAGAATTCCTTTTAAAAATCTCCCTCCCAAGCCCGCACATCCACACATTGCTACAACCTTGTGCATTTTAAATTTTAATACCTCTTTCCAAAGTAGCAAAAATCATGTAATCTTATATAAAATCACCTACCTCAGACTTCCTTTTTCATATTAAAAAAAAAAAAAAAAAAAAAAACAACACCCATTGCTTTTAGAGCTTAACAGTATCTTAGCAACAGCTGCTCCTGGGTTCAACTTGAGGCTTCCTAGGGCTTATTCCATGATTTATAGGTTTCTCCCCTCAGCCAGAAGCAGACGGCACAGCCCTGTGCCTGCTGGCATTTCATGCAGCCCTTGAATTGAAAAGTGTCTCCAGCTGTCTGAGTCTTGTGACACTCCTAAGCCCATCTGGGTCAGTTCTTATATCCTTGCGTTTTTCCAGCCGTGATTAAATTCCTCAAATGGCCCAGAGACATGCCAGCATCTAACTGCTGGAGCACAGACAGGAATCTGTGGTTTTTGGCACTGACAACATGTGGCTTTTCTGTCCACACCATTCTTCCGGGGATGCCGTAGATCGCACTGCCATGCCACGTGGCGTGTTGCACTACCACTTGTGCCATGCTGACCCCACTGCTATATGTCACTTTTTGTAGCATTTAGAGATAGAATGATGGTGCTTTCAGATGGAGGGAGATATCTCCTTTCAGAAATAAAAGCTGCACGACTTTTGGTGTTGCTGTTAAATGTGTTTCAACTCGGAGAACTTGGATTTAGTGTGTGGTTCTGTTGCACTTGGCTAAACTCCATCCTCTCTAATTGAGAGAATGAAATGCTGGGATCAGATGATCTCTGAAGGCATAAAGAATGGAAAGCCAAGCTTTCAAGATGATGTTTCAGTAAAATAAAAAACGGTAAGTGAGCTGAGTTGTAGAATGAACACTCCTAAGTCATAAACACCTGCTTTCCACACGATCATTCTTCTCCTCTTCTGAACACTGTATAAGTAGTTAGAAGATGTTGAGAAAAGAATATTCCTTGGAGCTTTTGGGCTTCCAACTTAAACCTTCTGTATCAGTGATTCCAAACTAAGGGTTACTGGAGAGAGCATTTCAGAGGGAAATGGTTTTGCATGGATGCCTTTTCTTTCACTCTCCAAGCACATCTCCTTGCTTCTGATATTTCAAAGTGTCTAAAGGCTGGCTCCATTAGTGGATCAGTGGGAACAGAGACCTTACTAAGATGATCATCTTGCCTTTTCTGTTCAGGTGATGGTGCCTGGAAGTCAGAACCAGCTCCTTCTGAAACCTCTGCTTCCCGACACTGAATATAAGGTCACCGTGACTCCCATCTACACCGATGGAGAAGGTGTCAGTGTCTCAGCCCCGGGAAAAACCTGTGAGTGGAGTTTGCCCCCTTTGGTAATTAGCTGGTTACCAAAACTCAGTTCCCATTAGGTCAGTTTTGACTCATGGCAACCCCATGAGTGTCAGAGTAGAACTGTGCTCTGTCAGGGTTTCAATGGCTATTTTTGAAGGCAGATTGTCAGTCCTTTCTTTCAAGGCCCCTCGGGGTGGACTTAAGCCCCCAAACTTTAGGTTAACAGCCAATCACATTAACCATACACATGTACCCGGGGACTCCACTCATTGACTGTTGCTGTTGTTATGTGCCATCGAATCGGACCCGACTCATAGCAACCCCTCCTTGGGTTTCCAAGGCAGTATCAGTACAGAAGTAGATTGCCCAACCTTCCTTCCAAGGAGTGGCTGGTGGGTTTGAACCACCAGCCTTCTGGTTAGCATTTAAGTGCCTTAGGCACTAAGCCACCAGAGCTCCCATCACTCATTGACTGATTACCTTTAAATGCCTGTCTCCTTTAATGCACACTCAAAGAGACAGTTTAGTGTAATGAAAAGAGCAAAAGAGATGTGGAGGCAGAAAGTCTGTGATTGAATCCTATGCTTACACTTAGAAGCTGTGTGACTTTGGGCAAGTTGTTTAACTGTTCTGGACTTCAGTTTGCTCATCTGTGAAAGCTAAGACTGTGCCTAAGGCACTTGACTGCTCACCACAAGGCTGGTGGTTCAAACCCACCACCTACTCCTTGGAAGGAAGGTTGAGCAATCTACTTCTGTAGTGATACTGCCTTGGAAACCCAAGGGGGGGGGTCGCTATGAGTCAGGTCTGACTTGATGGCACATAACAACAACAACAACATGTAATTTATCACAATCCTGGTGATTCTCCAAAGTGCATTCTCATGACTGCCCACTTCTCTCTATGAACTGTTCCACCCAGTCCACACCCTAATATTCCATAGAAATACCTCAGGTCCTGCCACTGTGGAGGTGGAGGCGAGTAGAGAAAGGAGGAAAGGCTCACATGGGCTCCATATAGCTGCAAATGAGCTGGACTCCAAGCTTCCAACCCCATTCTAGTACAGCAGATCTACTATTGTCTGTTTCATATATTAAGAAAATTACTGTGATCTGTAGAAGTGTTCTAGCACACACATACACACACACAGACTCACACAAATAAAGATGATTAGTATATAAATATGACTTCCATCTAATTACAGAAATACCATTATGAATAGTGATTTCTATAGAGTAAAATTACTTCAAAGTGTTAATGGATGGTCTACTTATTTTAAACAGTGGTCAACACAATGGAATTCCATCCAGAACAAAATAATAATAGTTTCTGTCACTATGCAAAATAGTTTACAAAAGCCCTCCTTATAAATTAATGTTTTGCTAAATAAATGATATATGCTAACATAAAACTTAAAGTAGTGTAAACAATACAAAGATGAGAGCAAGAGAAAATTAATCATCAGAATCATATCTCCAAGAATAACACTGTGAACTTCACCTTCAACATTGCTTTACATGCGTGCTTGGATTGTGGAACCGAGAGACCTGTAGACAGAACATCTTGAAGAAACACTCTGTATTCAATTTAAATTAAAATTAACTGAAGAAAAGTTACCAAATGACACTACACTGAATTAATTGCTGAACTTCAGATAGAAGTGTTTCACGATGATTTCAACTCATTGCGGCTCTGTGTGACAGAGTAGAACTGCCTCATTGGGTTTTCTTGGGCTGTTATCTTTAAGTAGATTGCCAGGTCTTTCTTCTGAGGTACCTCTGGGTAGATTTGGACTGCTTGCCTTTCAGTTAGCAGCCAAGAGCTTAACTGCCCCCAAGTCTCCTTATTTTCCACATACTTGATATTTAAGTAACCATGGACTCTCAAAAGCCTCTCACTGTGTGTTTAGTGCTTCTGTATGTTTATGTTGTTGTTGTTGTTATGTGCCATCGAGTCAAACCCGACTCATAGTGACTCCTCCTTGGGTTTCCGAGGCAGTATCACTATGGAAGTAGGATTGCCCAACCTTCCTTCCGAGGAGTGGCTGGTGGGTTTGAACCACCAGCTGTCTGGTTAGCAGGCAAGTGTCTTAGCCACTATGCTACCAGAGCTCCCTCTGTATGTTTATAGCATAGTGGAAAGATATCTTAGATTTTGCTAACAGAAGTATATTTGTGGACATGAGAACCATACTGAACTCAATTTTTCTTTTTCTTTCTTGTTCAGTACCACCATCTGGTCCCCAAAACTTACGAGTCTCAGAGGAGTGGTATAACCGATTGCGTATTACATGGGATCCCCCATCTTCCCCTGTGAAAGGCTATAGAATTGTCTACAAACCTGTTAGTGGTAAGTAATGATTTTAAAATAAATATTGTTACCAAGTTTAAGGATCTAAAATGTCTTTTAAGATGAGATGTGCGCATATATCTATATCTATATGTATATATTATATATATATATGTGTATATATATATGTATATTTTAAATCTATTTTTGATTCTAGAATGTTTCAAAGAAATGGGAAGTGCCTCGTACCTGTTTTGGAAAGAAATAATTCTTAGTAAGATTATCAGAATGATGACCCCATGTAGACAATGCTGGACAAGTTAATGAGCAAATTGTATACTTGGTATTTGCCTCACCTACACAGCCCCTGCATACTCCAAGCAAGGAACTATTCTAAGGAAATCTTGGCTTCATAGGAGTAGGATGCTGTATGCCTCCATGGATACATACTGTCTTAACATTCAGAATTTCTAATTTCTAATTCTGCTTTTCTTGGGTTAATTGGAAGAATTCCATTTATAAACTCTCGGTCTCCATAGTTTGGAAACTATGTTGGGAGATAAAAATCATCAATGCCCTAGGGTTGAGATAATGCAAACTTTTTTCCATCAGCCTCTTAGTCAGCTTGATAAGGAGACCCCTGTCTGCTCTACTTCCCCACAATGTTGTATATGAAGACTGGAGAATAACCCAGATGGGGGTGGATTACAGCCTTGGTCCACATTCTTGCAGAGAGGAGGCCATGTGCATCAAGCAGCTATTGTAATGTCATCACCTGACACTTAGAAATTTTCTGGAAGTTTAAACAGGGCAGTGTTTGAGTTCACCCCAAACATGGAATTTTGTGTGGCCATTTGTATTTAAAATAGATATGAAAAGGGTCTTCTCAGTTTTCTAGATCCAGGCTTTAGGCACACTGGTTGTTTAGCAGGAAGGGGTGGTCAAGTTATTTCTCTCAATTTGGCAGGAAAATTGTAAAAACATTTTTTGGGCCATATAAAAAAGTGCTTCCTGCCCACAAAAACTCCATTAGTCTCAGTCTGCAGTTCAAGAAGTTTCTCTTGCCATTGGAACAATCTCTAGACTTTTCTCTTGAGTCTCGTTGTCTAGGAGCTTTTGTCTCCATGGTGATAGAACTAAAAAACCTTCACCTCCAATTTGTCCAAATAAAAATTGCTATGAACTAGGAAAACAGAATAGCTATGATAAACTGTGGATTCACCAAGCGGCACAAGATTTATTTCTTGGGACCCACCACTATGTTTTAGTCTTTTTGCTTTTGGCCTCAGGCATATTAAGTCAACCAGACTGATTTTGTCCTTTGGACCATTTTACAAATATCTATCAGGTTTTCCGGAGGCAGATAGTGTTTTGAGGCCAGTGGTGCATAATCCATGTGATTTTCTGCCCAGTGGACATTTGGCAATGGCTGGAGACGTTTTGGATTGTCGCAGCCTCGGGGTGGGGTGCAGCTGGCATCGACTAGGTGCTGCTAGGTATCATACCATCCACAGTACTCCTTTCCCCCACCCCAGAAGACAGAATCCAGCCCCAAATAATGATGGTGCCAAGGTTGAGAAACCCTGTTCTAGGCCCAGTAGGAAAATTGTATGTAGTCATTTGTACTAATATGCATTTTCAGTGTTTAGGACATGGCAAAATCATTACTGAGCTAATACACTAAAAAAAAAAAAAACAAAAAAACCATCAGATCCACTGCCATTGAGTCGATTCTGACTCACAGTGCCCTTAGAGGAAAGAGTAGAACTGACCCATAGTGTTTCCAAGGCTGTAAATCTTTACAGAAGCAGACTGCCTATCCTTGTCCCGTAGAGTAGCAGGTAGGTTCAAACTGCTGACCTTTTGGTTAGCAGTCCAATGCTTTTAACCACTGCACCACCAGAGCCCCTTGAGATAATACATAGATACACAAATATGTAGGTATATGTAACTATATTGTTATAACGGGCTTCTGGAGAAAAGTGTAAGTATTTTAGGAACTTGTCACTCACTTAAAACCTTTGAAGACTGAGGGAAGAGGCTGGGCTTGGCAAAGAATGTTTAAATGCTTCATCTAAGATGCAGCTGGAGTGAAACAAAGATGAAAGTGGAAGGGGATGAAAAAGCCAAGCCAGCTGGTCAAGGGTCTTGGAATAAGAGTGTAATCTGTCTGCTATTAAAAATAGTGGTTGGAACTACAGTGATGACACATATGTTTGACCTGCTTTGTGGCAAGATGTTGTCCATGAGAAAACCTGCTGATACCACCACTTACGTGCTTGCTGGGGAGAAGCAGGGTGGCTGAGAAGGGGCCCTTGGGAAGGATTTCTTCAATTTGGCAAGTGCCCTTGTTTTGTGCTCCAGGGCTGCTCTAACAGACATACCACAAATGGGTGGTTCTAACAAACAGGGATTTATTCGCTTACAATTTAGGAGGCTTGAAGTCCAAGTACAAAGTGCCAGCTCTAGGGGCTGGGTGAGAGACTCTTGACCTTGGGCTTTAGCTCTTGCATCCGGCCCACTGAGCTGGAGGCTTCTCTTAACTTAGGCAGCTGCTGGCTGCTGAGACTGACAAACCCAAGGTTGACAAATAAAATGACCCAGTCCCAAGATTACCAAACAACATGGCAGGCCACTAATTCAAGTCCAGAGACAGTCTCAAGATTGGCAGGAAACACAGCAGTCTGCTGAAAGAATACTCGGCTACATGCAGCATCCAAGCATGCCAAAAAGCTCAGATGCTTTTGCTTTTTTTTTTTTTTTTTTTCCCTCAATGTTTTTTCCTATGTACTGGAAGCAGACCACATTCCTAAGGTAGCTACTCAGCTGCTCCAGTAGATGCAACCATGGAGTTGATTACTAGTCTTGTCATGGGGAATAACTACATCCAGCTGCCCAGCCAAGTTGACACACAACCTTAATTACCACAACCCCAGTTACTTAAGACAACATAATAGCTCTACTGTGGAGACCTCACACTATGGTGGAGGGTGGATTGCATGGTACACCAGTTCTTTGAGTAAGCACCAGGGAAAGATATATTTGAGAAAAGAACCACGTCCCATGAAAAGCCTCTGGCATGGCAGTCAGGTAAGTAGGTTATAGAGCTCCATGGAACTGGCTTCAAACCCTTGCCCTGTTGTTTCCTTGCCATGTAATCCTGTGCAACAATGACAAAAAGTTTAGTAGTATAATTTGCTTCAAGAGTGCTTCCAATTTTGCATATTCTGCTGTAACTGTAATGCATGCTTTCCCTCCTTTAGTTCCTGGCCCAACACTGGAAACTTTTGTGGGAGCTGACATTAACACCATTCTTATCACAAACCTCCTCAGCGGGATGGATTATAACGTGAAAATATTTGCCTCCCAGGCCTCAGGCTTCAGCGATGCTCTGACAGGCGTGGTGAAAACACGTAAGACTGATACCCTGTTACCTTAGCCCCTACAGGTGGTTTTGCTGCTTTGTCTTCACTGTAACTCCACCTCTCCTTCCATTTGGCAGTTGGTTTTTCTTTTCCTCAGCACTGCACTTTCTGGATGGTGTTTCATGGAAAGAGAAGTGTGCTCCTTACTTGGGGCTGTGGTTAGGATCCCTGGTTGGCAGACAAGATGTCAGCACCTGGCATTCAACCACACTTGATGACTGCAGATAGGTTTTCCTTCTGGAAAGGCTTTGGTTGGGAGTTTTCAGATTAGGTCAAGTTTTCCTACCAGCCTGTGCCCAACAAGGCCAACCCCAGTTGAAGTTGGGTGAGGGGAATTTTGTCTCAGAACCTTTGTGTCACCCCTTCTACACACACACACACACACACACACAAGCCATCCATAAAAAGTACATGCACCACTCTAAGGACTTTCTTCTCTGTTTTTGATAGGCTTTCATGCTATCTACCCACCATCTGGGGCTTCTTGCTGACATGCACCACTGCCAGACACCCACAGCATAATACATTGTTTTCTAGACTTCAGTTCAGCATGTATGTCCCATATTCCTGCTGTTTATCAGACTTCCAAATCATTTGTTTAATACATTTCTTTAAATACACTTACTTTTTTTTACTTAGATACCTTGAAGCACTCATATAATTACCATTAGCAGGAAACTGGTTTGTTTAATGAACACTGAACATGCTACATGAATTAGCACAATAGAAGCAGTTCATCCAGAGTGCTATCAATAGTATGAACCTTCCCCTTGAGAGTAATAGTCATGGGATAATGAAAAGAATGAGCCTTCAATCTGCTACTTATTAATTAATTAATTAATCTGCTACTTATTATGAGTTTGAGCAAATTTCCTAACCTCTCTGAGCCCAAATTTTCTGAACTCTAAAGTGAAGCTAATAATATCCAGTTTATGGGCTAATTGTGAGGATTAAAAAGATAACGTATATAAAACCAAAAAACTTGACTCACTGCCATCGAGTTGATTCTGACTTGTAGCAACCATCATTGGGTTTCCAAAGCTGTAAATCTTTACGGAAGCAGATTGCCTCATCTTTCTTCCATGGAGCAGGTGGTGGGTTGAACACACCAATCTTTTGGTTAATACCCAAATGCCTTAACCACTATACCACCAGAGCTCCTTAATGTATGTAAAGTGCCTAGCATACAGCAAGCACTCAATGGATAACTATTATTATTATTATTGGAATAATTGTGTTTTATGTACTTGACCCCATATTTCAGCCTCATCCCTAATCAAACAATTCATCTGGTAATATTTTCAGCAAGAACTGCAGCACTTATAGCCACCTTGGATTTCACATAAGTTCAGCCCTTTGAAGCTGAATTTTTGAATTTCTCTTTCATGGAATTCTTTGAGACCTTTCAGGCTAGATACTATTTGAATTTAAAAGACACAGTCCCTGTCATCAACTGATCTAGATCACAGCCTCTGGTCTGTGGCTTTAATATATATTTTTTTCTCTACATTGTTCTTCCACTCTATCCGGAATCTCCTGCACTGATCCCTTTCTGAATGGTTGACAGTGGTAGCTGGACACCATCTAGTTCTTCTGGTCTCATGGTTGCTGAGGTTCGCATGGTCCACTAGTCTTTTGGACTAATTGTTTGCATGCATCTTTGATTTTCTTCATTCTTCCTTGCTCTGTGAGGAGAGACCCATTGTTCCATCTAGATGGCTGCGTGCAAGCTTTCAATATGCCAGTTGCTACTCACCAAAGTAGGATGTTTTTGAGCAGTATTTTATGCCAATTGAGCTTGATGCATTTATTTTTACATTTTATTATCTGCATAAACTTTTCATTTCTAAATGTTTCCAAAATTTGTTCATTTAGTTTCATCATGTTTTGAAGACCAGATCTTTTGAAGCTGCTCCTATTTGAGTTATATTTCTGTTGTGTCTACTTTGTTCTTCCCTCTTACGTCAGCCATGGCTGTCTTTGTTCAGTGGGGAATAATTGCATAATCTCATCTTTTCATTACAAGTGTGTTATATATGCATTGTGGAATGCTTAAATAACACAAATAAATATTGATTGAAGATGAAAATCACCCATATAAGTTCACCATCCATTGCATCTGATATTTTTCCTGTGAATATATAATTTCCTTTTTCATTTACAAATACCAGACCATACCAAATGTAATGTTTTGCCGCCTGCTTTTTCAGGACATAAAGTAATGATAATTTATACACTAATTTCTTGTGAGGTAATGGATTTTCTGCCTTGGAGTATGGACCAGTAAGAGACATTTTTTCCTGTTTAAGTTAATTTCATACATACGGACATTTGTGTCATTGTCTACTGTTATGCTTCTGTTTCATTGTAGTGTTCTTGGGTGTGCTCAACCTCCAAGCCAACCAGCTTGAAATGACCAGCTTGTGTACTCAGTGGCAGTTGCACCGTCACGCCACAGCCTACAGGATAGTTTTAGAATCCCTCCAGGGTAAGTAGAGTGCATCACATATTGTTTTTGCCAAACACCAGGTTGCATTGCTGATATTGTCAGTGACTCCCTGCACACTGGCACTGAATGTGGTTAGGTACTGTGCCATCCAAACCATTGGTTGGGGATTGTCCATTGGCATTCAGAGTTTCCCCTGGCTGATTTTTGGAAGTAGATCACCAACCTGTCTTTCTAGTCTGTCTTGATCTGGAAGCAACTCTGACACCTCTTCAGCAGTACAGCAGCATGCAAGCCTCCACTGAGGGGTGGCCAGGTGGTGGCTGTGTATGAAGTATGTTAGCCAGGAATCAAACCCAGGTCTCCTCCATGGAAGGAGAGAATTCTACCACTGAACCACGACTGCCTCTGTACTTGTATGCTTAGTGTTATGATAATCACCGTGCAGAAAGTGTAAGTAACATGAGATAAGAATCTTCTGCTTTGGAGACAATATTGTATAATAGTTAATCATGTAGAATATGGAGTCAGACTGCTGGTTAAATAAATTATTCAACCTCTCCAAACCTCCATTTTCCTGTCTGTTAGAAGGTATAGTGATAGAACCAGCCTTGTAGGATTCAGTGAAGATTAAGAATCTGTTTAATACATTTACACATGATAAGCACTCAAGAAATATAAACTGTTTGGTAGTAAGAGCAACAGAGCTGAGAACAGTGTAGACAAAAATAATAAGATGGCACTGTAATTTTGGCATTGACTCTGTGGGGATCTGGGTTTGCATTTATTGTTTTTCTTAGTGTTTCTTTTTATTTTGGGTGCTAGTTGGTGAAAAGCAATTTCATTCAGTAGATGGTATATCTGTGCCATCATGAACAAGTTCTTCAGCATCCCAGTCCTCAAGAATATCTTAAATTTGGAACTTTGTTCCATATACTAAAAATGTCTCTTCATCATTGAAACAATGAAGAACACTAAAATGCTGATTGCAGCAAAGTGAGTTTCTAGGACCTATTAATCCTTTTTTTTTTTTTTTTTTAAATTATTAAAAAAAAATTAGAATCAGTTGTCTTTTAAAATAATAAAAATGAATGAGATTTGTTTTGCTTTGTTTCTGACTGTGGGAAGGTTATAAGCAAAACTAGAGAATCTCAAATACTTTTTTAAAAAATCTTTCAAACTTGGTGTTAAAATAAGAGTTTTCTCTTCTGAAACCAATGGTCACTGGTTTCCCCATCAAAAGAGCTGAAACAGCTAACTCTTCAGGATATGACTGGATTTAGTATGCCATATCCTTGAGTGTAACTACATGCAAAACCCATAAATACCACTTTTCCTGCAATCCCTAAAGGCAGAAAGCATTTGAAAGCGTGTTCCCCTTATAATATGGGCTGAGGTAATGGCAACATGCTAGCATAAATTCCTGCCAACCCCCAGCGAAGGCATTGTCTGGATAGACATGCTAAGCCACTACTTGGTTAAATCCCTGTGTGTGATATAAGAATCCCTTCACATGACAGAGGCTGAACATCTGGAAGTGGCTTTAATCCAGAATAAATGACAAGGAAGAGAAAGTGAGGACAAGGCACAAGGATTTTGTGGTTGTGTAAATATGACTTAGGGGATACGTAAGCAAAAGGAGTTGAAAGATAGGCAACTATTTAAGAAATGGAACTATAAAGCCTTGGGGAGTTATGCTTAATTTATCTTTATAAAAGTAGCTAACTCACAATTTTATATAGAAATGTTGACATTTAGTGGTCTTTGTTAATCTTAAAAAAACACTGAGTATAAAAATCAAATCCCCAAACTACCCCACAGTACTTTTACCCTTTTATTTAAGAGGTTCAAATGAAGGGACCAGAATCCTATGGATATTGGTAGTCTTTTACAAAAATAGCAATTCTATAGACTAATATAAAGATGGGTCAAAACTGGCCTCAGCAATGGAATTAATGAGATCCTTAAGTATTTTTATTAAGTACTTTTAATTTACTGTATTTGTAAAATAGCTTTTGGCTTCTTTTCGTAGGTTATAACTGTCTGATGACACAAATTCAATAAATTCTTTCTGAAACCAGCATCTTTGCAGGCAAAAATGTTGCTGTTGTTAGATGACATCCAGTCAGTTCCTACTCACACTGGCCCCATATACAACCCGATGGAACATTGCCTGGTCCTGACCCATCCTTACAAGCGTTACTAGGTTGACCCCCTTGTTGCTGCCATTGTGTTAATCCATTTTGTTGAAGGTCTTCCTCTTTTTCACTGACCCTCTAATTTACCAGCATGATGTCCTTCTCCAGAGACTGGTCCCTCCTGAAAACACATCCAAAGTATGTGAGACAAAAAACTCTCCATCCTTGCTTTGAGGGAACATTCTGGCTTTACTCCTTCCAAGATAGTCTTGTTTGTTCTACTGGCAGTCCATGGTATATTTAATATTCTTCACCAACCCCATAATTCAAATGCATCAGTTCTTCTTCGGTCTTCCTTATTCATTGTCCAACTTTCTTATGCAAATGAGATGATTGGAAATACCATTGCTTGGCTTAGGTGCACATTAATCCTTACAGTGACATCTTTGCTTTTTAACTTTTTAAATAGGTCTTCTGCAACAGACTTGCCCGTGCAGTATGTCATTTGATTTCTTGCTTACTGCTTCCATGGGTGTTGATTGTGGATCCAAGTAAAATGAAATTAACACGTTCGCCTCACATGCAAAAGGTCCCTGGGTTGAAACTGGGCGGAAACAGGCTTGCTTTAGGAGCTCTGATGGCGTAGTGCCTAAGGCATTTGACTGCTAACCAGAAGGCTGGTGGTTCAATCCCACCAGCCACTCCTTGGAAGGCACATTGGCAATCTACTTCCGTATTGATACCGCCTCGGAAACCCAAGAACGAGTCGCTGTGAGTCGGATCTGACTCGACGGCAGTGCATTGCATTTTGTTGACAACTTCAACATTTTCTCCATTTATTTCAATGCTGCAAATTGGTCTAGTTATGTGAAATTTTGTTTTCTTTATATAGAGGTGTAATCCATACTTTATCAGTAATTTCTTCAAGTCCTCTTTGCTCCCAGCAAGCAAGGTTATGTCACCTGCATATTGCAGGCTGACAAAAACAATAAAAGTCCACTCTTCCCTCTTATCTTCAAGTTAAGCTTACTTATCCTCCCTCAGTATTATATGCAGGCTGCCAGAAACCTGTTGGAGCCATGATAGTCTCAATTAAACAAGAATGAACAAAAGTGTTGTGTAATTTATTTCTCATCACCATTTATAGCTGGGAGATTTATGAACCCGGTTTGCCTTCATCTCATTCAGCCAGTTGTCTTTATATCATTGATCAATTAGACATCAACTTCTAATTCACAGGCACAAAATGGAGTGTTAGGGGAGTGAGAGTGGGGATGGCAAGAGAAAATAGTTTAAATTTTTTTAACTTACAGAGTTTCGATCCAGAAATAGTTTTTCCACTTTGGCGTGGGGAAGAGTTCAGTTGAATTTATTTATCTTACAGAGAAATGTGGTCACCATCCTGATTCACTGCCTGTGAAGGATTTGTGGTCAGATGACCCTTCTTCATGGGCAAATAAGTCCCACAGCCCCAGCTGTTTTGATTCTGTACTGTCTCCCATTAGCTGCATGTTGCCTGTGAAGAAATCTGAGTCCTTTTGACCCTAGGAGTGACACTAGGGAGAAATTGGACCCAGTTCTTCCATGTGTTGGAGAAAAGTTATGTCCCAGTGTGACCTCTTCATAAGTGCTGGTGCCAACTTTCTACTGTTTGGTCGACATTTTTTCCAGTTTTTAATATATTTCCCACGGCCTGGTCATTTGCACTTGGAGATGAAGGAGTTGTTCTGAGATGAAGTCAGTGCAGTAACCACAATGGCTGGTCATCCTTCTTCTCTGGGCTTCAGTCTTTCTGAAATTAATTCTTAGGATATTAACGGAGGCAGTACGTACAAATTCCCAAAGTTTTTGTTAGTAAAGTAGCCAGATGGTATTACTCCAGCTTGTTTGTTTGTCTTTAAGTGACAGCAACCCAGGTTGAAGTAGTGCAAAAACATTGTCCCCAGGATCGAGTCTTGCTCCTGGCTCTGCTCTGCCCTCCTCCACCTTCATTCTCAGACAGGCTCTGTAAGTTGGCACCAGTCAGACCCGGAATTGTATCATCTCAGTTCAGCAGGCTTAGAGAAAAGAGAGCCTCTCTTTCTCAGTAGTTACAACAGAAGTCCAGGTACAAAGTCAAATCACCCTAGTTTGGGGCACAGGCCCCCTCAACCTATCATTGAGTCCAAGTACACAGAAGAAACCGAGTGTCCGGACTTGGGTGCCTCCTACCCTTGTGTCTGCTGTTGGGGGACTATTCAGTCTTCCCCAAACCACAAAGACCAAGAGTAAGGAGAAATGGATCAAAGAAAGAGGGATTAGATGTAAGACAGGCAAAAACAACCGATGTCTTCTACCTGTATAAATATTATGACATTTTTATTGCCAAAAACAAAGAAAAAAAGATACCAGAAGGATAAGGTCCTTTCAGGAGAGACTGAAATAAAATCTGCTTTTGAGTCATTCATCCAGTTGCCAAATTAAGTGTAGGCTTTTGGTTAATTCTAGGACAGAAGAAAGAGACTTTCGATTGGTCCTGAGTAACTCAGAACCCCACTAGAGCCTCTGTTATTTCTGTGCAGGCTCTGGGATTCTGTCCTTTCCAACGGCTTTTGAGTTTCTTGGCATCTGAGGCAGCTGGATATAGAGTTTTCTTTCAAGTTCAAGTACTTATGTGCCAAATAAACCCAAATACTGTATTGCCTCCCTCATTCCCATAAGTTGGTGAACTTCTTTGTAACATCCTAGAAGAGAGTTCAAAGGATGCTCCATTTTTTGTTTATCTTCTATCTCTAGGTGTTGATGAATCAATTTTGCCATATTATCCATTCACTAGGACAGAGAATTACAGTATTGTGGAGAGCCTATCTTATTGGGGATGAGAATGCAGGGAAAAAAGATCACTTGGAGTTAACCCTATTCTTAAGATTCAACTTATTGAAGCAGTGGCTTTATGATCTGTGATTAGAGTATTTGAGATCCCTATGGAGTGGACTTATTTACACCATAAAATTTCAACAGAGTCATTTCCTGGATCCTGAGTATCCTTTGTTTGTGGAGCTGAGTAATTTATTCATGTGACATTTTGGTGTATTGAAGTGGTGATACTATTATCATAAAGGATCCTTGGTGGTGCAGTGGTTAAGCACTCAGCTGCTAATGTAAAGGTCAGCAGTTCAAACTCCTGCTGTGCAGGAGATAGATGTGGCAGTCTGCTTCCATAAAGACTTGTAGCCTTGGAAGCCCTATGGAGCAGTTCTACTCTGTCCTGTAGGGTCACTATGAGTTAGAATCGACTTGATGGAATGGGTTTGTTTTTTTTTGGTTGTCATTACTATCACAATAATCAGAGAAAAAAACTTAACCTCGCTTCATAAGAATAGATACACAAATACAGAATTTTTTCCCTGCTCCTAAATAAGAAATTACTGTATTTTTATGCAAGTAACATGTTATATGGTTGCACAACCGCCTTGCATGTTAGTTTCCTATGTGTGCTATGGGTGCTATGTGTGTGCACATTATTTACATGGGCACATTATATACAAAAACATACAGTAATTCAGTCCTTTTGGCACAGGAGGTTGAGGAAATTAGTCATCATTTGATCAGTTTAAATGTTTTCCTTTAAGGCCAAGCCATCAGACCTGAATCAGACATGCCAAAAACAACATGGATATGCTCCCATTCATGTAACCCCTCTTTGTTAGTATTGGGAATCAAACCAACACTGTTTTCCATTAATTCTACTGTGCCTGTTCCAGTTTTCCAATGGTTTTGAATGTTTATTTTAGTGGTAAAATCATTTTGTATTCCATTTTCAAGGGTCTGTAGGGTGCATGGCTATCCATGCAAAATAGAGGAAATGATAGAAAAGCACGTTTCTAGATTTGATTCCTGGAGAATTCCTACCTATGAGCCATGCTTCTTGTTGTTAGTTGCCATCAAGTCAGTTTTGACTCACAGAAACCCTATGTGTGCAGAATAGAAGTACTCCAGAGGATTCTCAAGGTTGTGACTGTTTGGAAGCTGATCACCAAACATGTCTTCCAAGGGTCCCCTGTGTGGGTTCAAACTGCCAACCTTTAGGCTTATAGTTGAGCACTTAACCTTTTGTGCCACCAGGGTATCCAAGCATATGGTTAGGGAATGTTTGTCTTGTTGGTAGCTTACAGAAGTTACCAGAAGGCTCCCAAGCAATCATTATGAAGTTCTATAGCCAGGAGCCATGAACTGAACTTGGACATCAGCAAAGCAGAGCACAGTGTTCACCAACTTTTTTTTTTTACTAACCCCTTTAAGAATATTATGTAATCTCACACACACTTTAATCTTTTTTATTTCACCACTTTTACATAATGTATGACAAAGAAATTATTAAAGTAAAGAGTATTTCATTCTGCACAAATATTAAAGATTAGCCCTGATAGCGTAGTTCATAAGGCATTTGACTGCTAACCAGAAGGCTGGCGGTTCAAACCCGCCAGCCGATCCTCGGAAGGAAGGTTGGGCAATCTACTTCTGTAGTGATACCACCTCGGAAACCCAAGGAGGGGTCACAATGAGTCAGATCCAACTCCAAGGAAGTGTGCTGCATTTTTTTTGTTGTTGTTTATTAAAAAGTTCATTTTTGTATGTATATCTTGTTTACTATCGGGCTGAGAGCCAGCCCCTGGGAGTGAGCTTTATTCCGGTCCCAGAATGTATGTACATGCAGACCACTCAGCTCAGGGTGATGCACCCACATACTCTAGGGAAATGCATCCCTTGGGGCACCAGAGGGGCAACATTACATGGAGCAAATGCAAGACACAGGAGTGCATAACTATGAGAAAAAAAAAGTTCACTTTTGAAACTTTTAGTAATAGTCATGAAATATAAAATTCAAGTTCCATTCATAAATGTCTGTTTCTAAAAAGTTAGGATTTTCTATAAATAAAAATTGGAAGTGTTCTAGTATATATACATTATTATTTTTCTTTTTTCCTAACCCTGACATAAATAATATACATATAATATACATATTATTTCCTAGTATATGTTTATTTGAAGTATAGATTAAAATTTAGCTAGGTATTATTGTTTCAAAAGAATTTTTTTTTTTTTTTAGATATTTTGAAATGTTACACTTGATCTGTTTTTACATTTTCTATATTTTGGTTATTTTAAATAAACAACTCTGCAAATAACATTTTGAAGAGTAGATACTTCTTTTTAACCATTACATAATATATGGAATGTATTTCATCAATGCATTTTTTAAACACTGATGTTTAAATTTCTAGAAATAAGACTTCGGACAAGATGGCAGAGCAGGCAGACTAGCTCCACAGATCCTCCATGGCAAAGACATGAGAAACCAATCGAAACAGATACAGATGATAATCCTAGAAATAATGTTGTATAAGACTTTGGTCAGATGGATGCGATTTATGGAACAGATCAAGATCAATCTTAAGACAAATGTACATGGTTGTTATTTTCATGGAGCAGCGAGTCTACCTTTCAACCAGTTATCCACTGTGGATATGCCCGTGATGATAACCCATTGAGACTGTTCAGTAATTAAAGCCACCAAAGGAGGCAGGAATGTCCAACAGAGTGAGAAGACAGGCACCCCCTGATAGCAATCCTCATCCGATCCCCTCTGGTCGTCTCTTTGCTGATTTACTAGGTCCTCAGCAGCTCTCGAGCTAGTTCATTTTGGCTCTAAATAATATATACGTATTTTGTTAACTTTAAAAACTATATATTTAATTTCCTTATTTTATTTTTCAATGGAAATTCAGGCAACACCTCCTGAGTCTGGCCTTCGGCGTTCTTAATTTAAATCTCAGTTCTGCTGCTTACTGCATGGTCAAGTTACTAACTTCCCTGGCCCTCAGTTTCTTGTATTTAGATTGGGAGTAATTATAAATGTTTTGAGGATCAAGTGAGTTAAAACATATACAATCCTGAGAATAGTGCTTGGCCCCATGATAAGTGCTCATTAAATGTTGGCTATTATCAATGCTTTTGTCATTAAATATAAAACACAGAACCTGGAAACCCTCAGGAAATGAAGAATATAGTTAATATAATTAATCCAGCTTCCCCAAACGGCAAACACAAGGGCTAACCCTGATTCTTCCAGGAAGGGCACAGACGTGGACGTGAGAATGAAGAATGCTGTTTGTCAGTCTCCAAAGTTCTCTGTGTCTTCTGCCATTGTGGAGAAAAGGCAGAGAAGATGCTACTTGCAATAAATGCTGTAGGGCATGGCTCCTTGGTAGAACAAAAAGAATCCTGGAACTAGGGGTCTGGGGACTGTGCCCCACAGCCTACATGGCCCTGAGCCTCTTAGGAGCATGTCTTGTTTCCCCAACTTGACAATGAGTAGTGGCTGAAATTACTTCTCTCTTTCAAATGAAAATAACATAGGTGAATTTCCTTATGTAAGCATATATTTCTCTGAATTTCGTATTTCAAGGTGCACTTTAAAGAAAGGACTGCAGAAAGCAATATGGTCAGCCCTTAGCCTTGTCAGCAGTTATGATTTTTTTGAAAATTGAGAAGGACTTCCAAAGTGGTTCCAGGGGGTTTAGAGGGCCTCCCTTGCACTCCCTAGAAATCTCTTTAGCTATTGAAAGGAGTCATTAGTGTCAGTGAAAAATCAATGCTAAGGGGTAGGAATTGGGCAGTAGGGGGTCTTCTTAGATGCCCCAGCCTGCATTTTTGGTAGCTTTTAAAACAACCTCCATCCATGGATCAGGTTTCTGAGACCCTAAAAGCCCACTTCCTAGTCTACACATGAAGAATGCCTGGATCCCTACAGTTTCTGACTGCACACCTATATCTTTAGACTGCTGCCTACAAGGGCATCTACCTGAACTTTCTGTAGGATGGGTATTAAGTTGTATGGGACCAAAAGAATACAGTCTTTAATGTCAATATGTAATTGTTTGGTTGTGTTTTGGAGAATCATGTTGAATAAAAGGGGGTTCTGATTTTCTTAAATAAATAATATAATGATGCCCACTTGTCCAACGGTTCAATAAAGATGTATACATATAATTATATACATTAATAATTCTCTATTTAGTTGAGGGTGGACTACAGGTGTCTTTTAATAAGATTCTTTATTGTACATTTAAAATGTGATTTTCAATTGGAAAATAAAAGCAATCATTGGCTATGTTAGCTTTTTAGGAACAGTTACACTGTCTCAAACAAGTATAATTCGTTCTGGAGTTACCTGATTTGGGCGATGCATATTAATCATTTTAGAAGATAGTCATCTATTGATGGATATTACTGTTAAGTTTCACAAATGTATATTTGGCTTTGTTTTTCTTACAGATACAAAAAAGCAAGAATCCACTGTGAGTGGAGGGACAACTAGGCATTGCTTCTATGGACTCGAGCCTGATTCTGAATATAAAATCAGTGTTTACACAAAGCTCCAGGAGCTTGAGGGACCTGGTGTGAGCATAATGGAAAAAACACGTAAGTCAAATGTGATCACTCCTGGTCCCCATCTTCAAGAACAAGCAGCATTTCAGGCATCCCATTTGGTTCAAAAACCTTATCTCATAGAAAACTATTAGCTACTGCTGCCCAAGAATCTATGTAATACAAGTTTTGCTTTTCTTATCCAGCCTCAGAAGTCACTGCATGTGGCCCACTGATGTCATCATTGTGGTTCTTTCCATTCCCCATGTATGTTTCACAGGGGACCATAAGGCCATATGATGGCAAAGCACTTGAAACAATGACTTATATTGTGATCCATATCCATAAGGAAAATCTGTGATATGTGGGGTCTGAAATGGAATTTAAGGACTGGGTCCCGACATTAAAACAAAGGCGTGGTACCATGGCCATGAGGGTGGGAATGGAGCCAAGACGAGTCAACTTGCTGACCCTAGAGTTGTTGCCTGTTTAAGAGGCTCTTGCAGTTCTTTAAAGTTGGGTGCAGATCTGACGCACAGAAGGAAAAGTCAAAGTACAAAATTAAAACAAAGCATTTTGTACATGTTCTGAAGAGCATTGTGGTTGTTAGGTGCTGTGGAGTTGCTTCCTACTTACAGTGACCCTCTGGAGCTCTGGTGGTATAGTGGCTGAGCCATTTGGCTGCTAGCCAGCAGATGAGCAGTTCAAACCCCCAGCTGCTCTGTGGAAGGAAGATGGGGCAATCTACTTCTGTAAAGATTTGCAGCCTTGGAAACCCAATGGGGTCACTATGAGTCAGAATCGACTTGATGGCAGTTTTTTTTTCTGTACAACAGAGCGAAAGCTTGCGTGGTCTGCACCATTCTCACAGTCATTGCTATGTTTGAGCCTATTATTGTTGCAGCCACTGTGTCAGTCCATCTCCTTGAAAAACACAGAGGGTGTCAACTTCTTGGAATGCCTTTTAATCAAGTTTTCCTATCCTAAAGTCCACAAACATTAAAATAAGTGGAAGTAATGAACTCTGTGCGATGTTTGTGTGCTTAACTCAGTATCTTGAACTTAAACATGAAATCCCTGAGGATTTGTGTCTAAAGAGATGGTGGGCAGTTGACTTCCTTGGTAGCCCACTATTATGTGTGTGAACTTTGGAAAGATCTACTGGCTATGCTGGAAAACCTCTGACATATGCAGAAAAAAAAATTGATCATAAATGTGTGATCCTCAAAAACAGACTGTTAAAGTATAATAAATTGATTAATTAATTAATTTCTAATATAAAGATATTATTTCATAACTCTGAGATATTCATTATTTTGTATAACTCATGTTTTTGAGGTATAATTTTATTGAGGTGTAATTTACATACAATATCATTTATTTAAGAGCTCTGGTAGTGTAGTGCCTAAGGCACTTGACTGCTAACCAGAAGGCTGGTGGTTCAAACCCACCAGCCACCCCTCGGAAGGAAGGTTGGGCAATCTACTTCTGTAGTGATACTGCCTCGGAAACCGAAGGAGGGGTCGCTATGAGTTGGGTCTGACTTGACAGCACATAACAACAACAACAACAACATTTATTTATCCTTGTTTCATAATTTAATGATTCTTAGTAAGCTTGAGTTAGGCAGTCATAACTACAATCCTGTTATAGAACATTTCTGTGGCTACAAAGAGATCTTTCCTGCCTGTTCATAGCAGTCAATCCCTGTCTGTACCCCTAGCCAAAGACAATTTATTGTCTTTCTCTATACATTTGTCTTTTCTGGACAAATGTACATACATTAAAAAAAAAAAAAAAAAAACCAACTCATTGCCATGAAGTCGGATTCGACTCATAGTGACCCCTCCTTGGATTTCCAAGGCAATATCACTATGGAAGTAGATTGCCTAACCTTCCTTCTGAGGAGTGACTGGTGGGCTTGAACCACCAGCCTTCTGGTTAGCAGTCAGATGCCTTAGGCACTACACCACCAGAGCTCCTGTACATACATAAAGTCATATAATATCTAGTCTTTTGCATCTGGCATCTTTCACTTAACGTAATGTTTTGGGGGTTCATCCATGTTGTAGAATATACCAGTGGTTTGCTCCTTTGTTCCAAATACTTCATTGCCTAGTGCTGCTACAATAGAAATACATGTGGCTGCTTTTAACAAACAGAAATTTGTTTTCTCCCATTTAAGGGGTGTAGACGTCGGTGTGCCAGCTCTAGGGGGTGGCTTTGCGTGTCAGCTTTGGAGGACCGTCCTTGCGTCTTCTGAGCTTGTACTCCTGGCCTACCTTCTGCTGCTTGGCCTTTTTCTTTCCCCATCTCTGCTTCCTGCCTTGTTTGTTTAATCTCTTTTTTATCTCAAAAGAGATTGACTCAAAACATACACTGTGCTAAACCTGTCTCATTAACATTACAAAGATAACCCATTCCCAAATGGGATTATAGTAACAGGCATACAAAAAAAAAAAAAACCAAAACCAAACAACCAAACTCACTGCCATTGAGTCATTGGACTCATAGCGACCCCACCTTGGGTTTCCAAGACACCCCAATCTTCCTTCTGAGGAGTGGCTGGTGGGTTTAAACCACCAGGCTTTTGGTTAGCAGTCAAATGCCTTAGACACTACACCACCAGAGCTCCCAACAACAGGCATATTTACAACATAATTTTGGAGGGACATAATTAAATCCATAACATTCCAACTTTTGGTCCCCCAAAATTCATGTCCTTGCCACATGCAACATACACTCATCCCATCACATCATCTCAAAAGTCTCAAATCAATTTCAAGTCTAAAATCTTATTTCTGATCTAATGATCTAATCAAATATGGGTGAGACTTTAGGCATATTCTATCCTGGGGCAAAATTCTTCTTCATCTGTGAACCAGTGAAATCTAGACTACAGTAAGGACTCTTCATGGCACAGTGGTTAAGCACTCAGCGGCAAAACAAAAGATCGGCATTTTTGGAAACCCTATGGAGCAGTTCTACTCTGTCCTACAGGGTTGCTATGAGTTGGAATTGATTCAATGACAATGTTTTTTTTTTTTTTTTTTTTTTTTCCTCCAGATATCCATAAAATGGAGTTCTACCCAGGCGTTGTATTGTGATTGTTGCTAGGTGCTATCAAGTCATTTCCGACTCACAGCAACCCCATGTTCAAAGTGCCCCATGTGCAACAGAACAAAATACTGCTCTGTCCTGCACCATCCTCTCAATTGTTGCTATGTTTGAGTCCACTGTTGGCAGCCACTGTGTCAATCTGTCTCATTGAAAGTCTTTTTCTTACTGACCCTTTACTTTATCATGGTTGGCTAGATGACAGGTTGGCTAGAACACATTTCATGGATACACATATGTGTGTGTGTGTGTGTGTGTATACACATATGCACACACACATGTATATACATAATACATGCATACCTGCATTTATATATATACATATGCACACAAAAAATACATACATACATGCACATAGATACATGCATATAGTGCTGTGGAGTCGATTCTGACTAAAGCGATTCTGTAGGACAGAGTAGGCCTGCCCCATAGGGTATCCAAGGCTGAAATCTTTATGGGAACAGACTGCTACATCTTTCTCCCATGGAGCAGCTGGTGGGTTCAACCCACTGACCTTGGTAAGCAACCCAGTGCTTAACCTGTGTGCCACCAGAACTCCTTATTTTATGGGTATACCATCATATAGTATTGAAGTTAGCAGGGGTCTGGTAGCGTATAAGATTTAGAGTCAAAGAGGCTAGATTGGGACTCTTATTCTGTCTGTTGCTAGCATTATGGCCTTGAGCAATTCAGTATCTGAGGTTCTTTTTGCTCTTCAACAAAAGTAAATACCTGCTGTTTTACTTCCAGTGGTGACAGCAGAGATCCAGTAACTGAGTACCTGTTAAAGTGCTTTTCAACCTGTTGTCTCATGGAAGAAGTCCTTTTTGTCATCACCATTATTCTCTTGGAAGTCACACACTAATGGTTATGGGGCTTTGTCTCAGCAGCAGGCATATTTTCTCTGAGTCATACATTTAAAAGTTTTTAAAGTATTTGGAAATTCAGATCAGGCAAAACAAAACCCGCATACCCTTATGGTACCAATCTGTCTTGTCTTTTATAGTGCATGTGTCCTAAAGTTTGTTACTACTCCTTAGTGCTCTTTGCTCTTTTTTTTTTTTTTTCTTAAATCTGTCTCAGCTCTGCACTTATTTGAGTTTGGAACCCTCAGTGTAGTTCAGTTTCCACCTATGCCAAACCCCACACTGTTAACTACCAACCCAGGGTGGTTTATTCCAATTTGGAGAGCTCTGTTTGATGTAAATATTTTCCGTATGTTGGGAACATCTGTCTTTGTGTAGCTTCCACCCATGGGCTCTAGTCCAACCTTCTGAAGCCATGCAGATCAAGACTGTTCCCTGTTCGATGTGACAGCCCCTGACACAATTGAAGACAAGGACCATCTGTATGCCACAGAGAGGACATAAACATAAACATGTGTCATCAGTTCATTGTGGCTTCTCTTCCCCAAGAGATTCTTTGGTCACATGTTCTCCTCAAACATATTGATCTGGCTACATAGTCCCTCATTAATTTGATTCTTGATTTATTGAGTGTACTTGGGATATGCCTCAATTTTCCTCTTTAAAGAGAAGCACAAAAATAAAGATGACCAATTGCTTCCAAAGAGTTTACAATAAATAAGTCAGATTTGAGAAGTGTTTTATGGTGCTTTCAAGGTAGTTTTGCATGCTTTGGTAGTAAGATTTCTCAATTTTTTCTCCTTTTGAAACTATTTAGCTTCAAAAATTGGCTTATGAAATAAAAGTTATCTATCTATGTATCTATATTTCCATAATAATACAACAGAAAGGTATAAAGTAGCGTATTAACCTTCCTCTCTCTCCATTCATCCTTCCCAGAAGTGTGTACTTGTGAGACTGTGGTCTCTCAAAATTTCTTTGTTTTCAATATACAAATATATCCATATTATGTTTGTGAAATATGTGTGAGATGCATATTTGACAAATGAGATAATAACATTTGTATTCAGTGACTAGTTTTATTTCACATATTAATTACTCTTGGGTAATTTTTCATATCACTAATGTAGAGATATCTTTTATTTAAATGTCCAGTCATTTTATTCAGATAGTTTTATTTTATACTGCATCTTGGACTTGGAAGAGACCTTAAAGTTCATCTCTTCCATCATCCCTGCCAATGAAGGAATTCCTTTTGTAGCATTCTCAGCAAGTGATCAGTCTGCCTGAGCTCACGTCCTTCCAGCTCTTTGGTGTATACTGTCTCCTGAAGCTGAACTTCCTCTCTGTGACTGGCTATGATTTGTGGGAGGTCTTGCTGTATATTAAACTGAAATGTACCCCCTTTAATTTCATGCACCGGTCCTAGTGCTGTCTTCTTGGGTGGCCCTTAAATATCTTTTTGCTGGTGGTATAGTTCTTAATCTGTGCTGTGATTATTTATTGTGCAATAAAATGAAATAATGGAAGTCTTTTCCAAATTTTCTGGGGGAAAAAAAAATGAGATCAGAAAAATGTTCTCAGTTTTTCATGAATATGTAATGTCAGATAGGAATAAGAAATAAATACATTATAAAATAATATTTTGTGATGTTTACTTAATGATGTCATAACTTCTTGGTTCTTTGCCATGTGACCTACTTTAAGAAATACTGCTCTGGGCTCAACATCCACAGGCCCTTTAACTAAACCAGCCCTTTTCATAGTCCCTGAATTTCTCATCCCTTATCAACTAGGTTGACCTGATGTAGATAAACTCTAGCCTGCCAGGGTTTCTATGTGATCTTCAGAATGGACAGATTTTCCAGATACAGTATGAGCAAAAGAGATTGGATGAAATTTTATAGTCATCTTGGAGGGATGCAGGATGGGAAGGCAGGAGAGGACTGATGGTCAGTCTTTAGTTAGGCAGAATGGAAATGAAGTTTATGGTATGTGTCAAAGCAGCCAGAGACTAAATCTGAAACAGGCTGACAGGATTCTTGCCTTAAATCAACATTAAAATTGCTTTATAGCTGACAATTTGCTTGTGTTGACTCCTGTTGAGCAAACTGAATTGTGGCAAAATGGCCTATCAAACCTTCAGTCTGAGGATGCACAAAGAGAGGGAGCTAGTTTTCACAGAGTGTGCCTGATATGTAAGCCAAATCAAGCCCACTGCCATCAAGTTGATTCTGACCCCACAGGACAGAACAGAACTGCCCCATAGGGTTTCCAAGGCTGTCCGTCTTTACAGAAGCAGACTACTTCATGTTTCTTCCATTGAGTCATTGATGGGTTCAAACTGCCAACCTTTTGGTTAGCAGCCAAATGTGTTAATCACTTGGCCACATGCCCCTTGTGGCTGATCTATAGTAGTCACTAAATTCTCAGAGGGCAGTTGTTCAAATCATTGACTCCCTCAAGGAATTACTGCTCCATGACCTCCCTCCAGTCCCCAGAGATGAGATGGCTAATTGATGTTCTTCTCCCTCTTCTCTGTAGAACCACTTCCTACTGAACCACCGACTTTCCCTCCGACCATTCCACCAGCAAGAGAAGGTAAAAGAATAAGACAATAATGATGCAATTTCAGATTTAGGATTCCTGTTGGTTTTACTTGTTTGTTTGTTCATTTAAAGACCAAGGTATTAATAATAGATTTTTATAGTGTTACCTATTTTTCTTCTTCATTAGACTGCTTATCAAGCCCTGATGTGATCTCTAAAAGTATTCATTTAGGAATAGACTCTGTATGCAAAGAGTAGATTTTCTAAAAAGAACTGATTTGTATTTGTTTCATTGACAACATCAGAGAAGTCAATGTTCATCAACAAAGAATAGTTAGCTGATTTGTGAATGAGAATCTAGGTTATAATTCTGTAGATAAGGGCAAAGATTTTCTAGTTTACATCTGAAATGCTTCTTGTAGTCTCTTTCTGTCTTCGTCACTATTCCTCATTGCCATTTATCTGAGAAATTGTGATAACTTTCCAACAAACCTCCCAATCCAGTCCTGATCACTTTTTCATTCTGTTAATAACATTTATCAGCTCTGCTGTTCATACTCAAAGCCCTTATGCCAGACATTGTAAGTACAATAATAATATATGATTGTTGCTCTCTGCTTGCTCTTAGTATCACAGAGAAATAATTACCTGAGTAATTAACAATTGATGGTATAAAGTATAAGACGGAGATTTTACACACATGTGATAACCCAGGAATGAGACCAGATGCTGCTGATGCAGGTTAATTATTCATAAAAGAAGAGGAAGAATGATGTACCTTTTGATGAATTAGTTTTACAGATATGTAATGGGAGGAATAACACTCTGTGTCATAGAGTGATCTAAGCACATGATGTATCTGGGAGCCATAATAGTTTTCATATGGTACAGAGAAAAGGGTGAGGGTAGACTTAGGAACTGGTTTTGTGTGCCCAAATTGGGTTTGAGCTTTATCTTGCAGGAAATGGCTTGCCGTGAAAATTTGTAGGAAGGGAGCATGAGTTGATAAAATCTATGTTTGAGAAAGATAACTTTGGAGGAGTGAGGAGAGTGAATTAGAGGGAGAAAATAAAGGTGTAAACGTAAGACAGGCGATTGGAAGGTTGTATTGGAAAGGTTGGTGCATTCGTCATGCTTTTGTAAGTGCCTGTTACAGGGGTGCAATGAAAAATAAGTTGTTCCTACCATGCAGGAGCTTAAAGTCAGTGGAGTCAGATGCTCTAGAGAGTGGAAGGCTCAAGGAAAGAAGGAAGCAATCAGCCACCCTAATAAGGCTCAGCATTCCTCATAGCCCAGCATACAAAGTCTTAAATGATTATCCTACTTTGTAGCATTGTTTCCCATACTGTCTGAGTTACAGCAAAGTTGTGCCATTCAGGGTAGCCCATATATGTCTTAGGCTATCCTAAATTCTTTACTGCTGTTCACTCTACCCATAATGCCAAATGCTTTCTTTTTTCAGACATATATATAGCCTTCTCTAGCCTCAATATCTGTGATTATTTTTGCTATTGAATGGAACTGAAAGCAGAATCCTAATTGATAAATTTACTGATGAGGTTTTCTGATACTGAGATTACAGACCGTTTTGATGTCAGAATATGTTTATTTACACCCGATTATGGTTATCATTCAGCAAACATTCATGAAAGCGCTGGTAAGGCTTAGAAAATTTGGAAGGGTCTGTGGGACTAAGGGTGACAAAAGAACACCATCATCATGATGATTTCAGACAGTGCGGCTTTCATGCCTTGAATGCCTTGTTCATTTTAGCTCTGCTTATCCTGAGTGTATTAAAAAAAAAAGCCTGTACATTTTTATTATTTAAGTAATACTTACTATTTATTGGATAAACATTGGAAAGTACAAAGTAAGTTTAAAAACTCTCATGATTTCATGTCCCAGAGGTCATTCCTCCATGCATCTTGATGCATTTCCTTCAACCATTTTTTATTTTCAGTATGTTTTAAAATACGTTTTGCTCTCATTTAGAAGGTGAAACCCAGTGGTGACTTCATCTTTTCCCGGAAACAAAGAACCAGGTTTACTGTTAGAAGCTTATAATTATGATCAGCAAATCTTGTGATCTTTTTCAGCCTCAAATTCAAACCATAAATTTGTAAAATTTTATGAATCCCGGAACTCATGAGAACAACCTCACCAGATCCTTGTTGTCCCTAGGGTATTATGTCACTTGGAGATGGTTTATTTTACATTATAAATAGCTTTAAGGGAATGAAAGCGAACTTATTCAAATAAAAACCAAGTTGGGTTTTTCTTTTTTTTTTTTTTTTTAAAGAAAGGAGAAAGGCACATTATCTCATAGAATATTTTTTTTGCAATTGGCTTAAGATTAAAAGATTTAGATTATTGAAGAGTAAATTGTTTGCTTCATCATAAAACAGAGTCAACCACAATGATCTACACTAATGGAGAGGAAGAAAGGCATAGATAATCTGAAACAGGACATGATACCAAAAATGGACTTTAAAAAAATACTTTCAATGAGTAGGTTTTTGTTGGTATGTTTTTTGCTTCTTTGTTTGTGTTGGTATCAGTAACACCTACTGATGATAACTAACAGTAACACCTAGTGATGATAACTTTGAGTTAACAGTAGTGTATATTTCTTAGCCATGAATCAAAGAGTGACAGACAGAAAGGCATAGGCAGACTTACTGGGCAAGGCTGGAGTTAAAAGTTGCTTGTGACCTCAGCCCAAATGCTCATCAAGTTGTAGATCAATCTGTTTGTCTTGGGTCACTTGCCTTTCTTCTGAACCTGAATCTCTTTGTTCTTAATTTTTTAAATCAGTGAGTGGAAGACAGGGTGCACGGAGTGATAGCTTGACCTTCCTTCTAACCAGTAGAGTGTTCTAATTGAACTAGTGAGGGTTTGCTGATGCTTCTGTCTCTAAATCCCTTTAAGCCCATGCTCTTCATTCCCCTGGGAGCTCTGGTAGCATAGTGCCTAAGGCACTTGACTGCTAATCAGAAGGCTGGTGGTTCAAACCCACCCACCACTCCTTGGAAGGAAGGTTGGGCAATCTACTTCCGTAGTGATACTGTCTTGGAAACCCAAACTCCCTATGAGTTGGGTCCGACTCAATGGCACATAACAACAACAACTTCATTCCCCATTTCTATTTTTTGGGACTGAGATTTGCATTTTTTCTCTTTCCCCTGCATGTCCAATTGGAGTGTCTTAGTCATGAATAGCAACCTGGGTGTAGGAGAGAAATAGTGGCCAGGAAGCAACATGAGCCTTCACCTATTTCCACCTTCCCTTTGGGAAAGAGCTCTCAGTCTCATTTGTGCTTCTTTATTGGCTTCGTAACTACTGCATTGTCCTTCACTTCTGACTCTTCATTGATTCTCGGTCCTCAGTATGTAAAGCTGCCAAGGCAGACCTGGTGTTTATGGTGGATGGATCCTGGAGTATTGGAGATGATAATTTCAATAAGATCACTAATTTTCTGTACAGCACTGTTGGAGCCCTGGACAAGATCGGTACAGATGGAACTCAAGTAAGGCTAATAGACCAATCATTCATTCAACTTATGCATGTACAGATTCGTTTATTCATTTAATTAATTAATTTATTTCTCAAGCCTTATTATGGCTACTTGTGAGGGATATATAGTAAAGAATGATAAAGGTAACTCCAACTCCCAATGAGGGGATAGACCAGTCTGGGTTTGGCAGCAGCTTAGTGGTTCCTGGTAGAGCTTGAAAGGATATTAATTCTTAACAACTGTCACATGCAGCAAACTAAGAATGGGGATTATGACCATACCATGGTATGTTTCTTTTATATACCAATGAGAGTGCCTTTTTTAAGGATATGCACAATATTTTCACTGCCCTCAAGGATTTCAATGTATTTTGAAAGGGAGAGAGGTCATGGTCACAAATTAATATAGTTCAAGTAACACATGAGCCAAATTTATTACTCAACAGATATTAATTTATGATCTACTATGACCATAATCTGTACTGGACAGGGGGGTTATGGCCATGAATATGACTGACAATGTCCTTGGTTTTATGGAGCTGACATTCTTAATAAAGGTGGGGAGAAAAAGAGGGAGAAGACAGACAGTATGAGCAAACAAATAAATTCACAATATAGGGATGGAAGCTATGGAAACAGGGTAACCTGATTGAGAGTCATTGAGAGTGGGGGGTATTTTAACTTGTGTGGCCAGTGAGAGTTTCTCTGTGGAGGTGTCTTTTGAAATGAGATGTGAATGATATAGAGAAGATCTTGGGTAGAGTGTCCTGACAGCGAATATAGTAAGTGAAAAGGACCTAAGATGAGAATGCATTTTGTGGGTTCAGAACTCAACACTTCAACCCGAAGTGCAGTGCTGAGAGAATGGAGATAAGAGCAAAGGTAAAAGGTAGGCAAGTGCCTGGGCATCTTGGGTTTTGTGGCAAGGAGTTAGGGTGTCATCCTAAATGTGAGAGGACAGCCTTGGAAAGATTGTTCTGACTGCTTTGTGGAGCCATGGATATCAGTAAGAGAAGAGGGGAGGCCAGTAAGGAGGCTGTTGTCATGGTCCAGCAGAGAAATGATGATGGCCTGGGCCAGGGTGACAGCAACACATTGCACAGAAATAAACAGATTTAGAATATCTTTGGAGGAAGAACTGAGAAAATTTGGATATAAGGCTCTGTCCATGAGAGAAGAATAGATAAATTCCTGAGGCATTTTGGGAGAAAGAAATTTCTTCTGATTGGAGGGATCAGAGGAGGTTTCCTGAAGGCAGTCACATGTGAAATAGACCTTGAAGTTTAAGTAATCAGAAAAAACACCCTAAATATGCTCTATTTGCTCCCTCCATCATAGTTCTGAACAACAACAACAACAAAAATAAAGATAAAAAATGGACCCAAAGTTCCACAGGATGAAAAACAAATTGTAGGAAGTTAATGTAATATTATACTAATTATTATGATAGAGTGATTAAGAGCAAAGATTTTGTAGTAGGATATACCTGACTTCAACGGTTGGCTCTGCTAATGACCACTCTTGGGACCTTGGGCAGTTTCTTGATTTCGTGTGTCTCTGTTTACTCATCTGTATGTAAAACAGTAGTAATTACTCCATAGATTTGCTTCATTAGAAGACCCTTGCTAAATGCCTCACATTTAATAAGTAGTCAATAAATGATAGATGCAATTATTATTGCATTGTTATCATTAAGGAGTCTTGATACAACACACTTCTTTGGCCTCTTTATGATGGAAAACACCAACGCAAAAAAATGATTTTGGCCCAAATCCTAATAAAAAAAAAAAATGATTTTGGTTTCTTTCATGGCCAATTTAAGACTGATGGAAAACTGACTTGCTGGAAAGTAGTTTAGTGTTGTCATAAAGCAAAGCCTGAATCAATGACTTTTTAGGGTTTTAAAGTATACATACAATCTCATTGTTTCCATGATACATCTGCTCTCTAATAATACTTTACATGACAGCCAATTGTGATTCTTTTAATGTTTTCAAGTTACAAGGACTAGACTACCCCCCCTTTTTTTTCACCTTTCAAATGAGATGGCAAAAGTCTTAGGTTTTAAAATAAACTATTTCCTGAATTTAGAAAAATGCTATAATTTGTGCTTGAATTTGGTGTGTAACTTGTATGAAATTTTAAACCAAGGTGATTGTGGACTGGGCTAAGTATGAAGTGAAAATTCATTGCCATTAAAATTTTGCTGACCCATAGGATTGTCTTGTGCTCTCTGACCCAGGGAAAGGCTACACAGATATAAAATCTCACACTTTCTCTGTCCAGGTGGCGATGGTTCAGTTCACTGATGACCCCAGGACAGAATTTAAACTAAATGCTTACAAAACCAAAGAGTCCCTTCTTGAGGCAATTAAACATGTGTCATACAAAGGAGGAAATACAAAAACAGGTAAGACCAAAACGGAACAAAGTAAAAGACCAAAACCCAGGTAAGTTCCATTGTAGTTAATTGTTGGTATTTACTGAAATACCTTTTTTTTTTTTTTTTAAGCATTTTATTTATTTATTTATTTTCAGATTTTTCATGATTTTAGACTCTTGTGCTCACCCTTCTTTTCCCAGCAAAACAAAACTGGGAGGGAGTGAAATGAACTGTTGACTTTCTTTGTTTCAGGAAAGGCCATTAAGTACGTTCGAGATAGCTTATTTACTGCAGAGTCAGGTACAAGGAGAGGCATCCCGAAGGTGATAGTGGTTATAACTGATGGGAGGTCACAAGACGATGTGACCAGAATTTCCAAGGAGATGCAGTCAGATGGTAAGTCTTAGATACATGAGTAAGAGTTGCTACCAGTTATGCTAGCCTTGTTGTTTTCTAAATCCAAATTTACGAGCTACGTGTTACTTGTTTTTTGTATCATTCTTAACATTAACTGAACAAGGCAATTTTTAAAATACCTTCCAGTTTACAAATCCATTATTTTACTGTGTTTTCTCTAATACTTTTGTTAGGCACAGAATTCTCTGTGTAAGAGACTTCAGCAATTAAGTGCAGTACCCTTTTTGTTTAATACCTTTTTTAGGTTTTCTGTGTTTAACTTTTTATTGGGATTTGGGTGAAAGTTCACAGAAAGCTTTCCATGTAACAATTCAGTTTTGTTTTGTGACATGAACTGCAGTTTCCACGATGGTACAGTGCTCCTCTCACTTCTGCCGTGTGCTTCCCGTTTGCATTCACCCTTCTTTTTCATCCTTCCTGCCTTCTGAGGTTTATCCCTGGGCAAATGCTGCCCTTTTGCTCTTGGATGATTGATTGTTCCAAGGAGAGCACACCCCCCTGGTGTTATTTGTCATTTTATAGGCCTGTCTATTGTTTGGTTGACAGTTGAGTCACCAGAGTGAGTTCAAGTGCAGGTTTGAGGGTTAACTAAGGACCATAGTCTTGGGGGTTCCACCAGTCTCTAATAAGACCAGTAAGCCTGATGTTTTTTATGATTTTGAGTTTTGTTCCATACTTTATTTTTTTTTTAATTTATTTGTTTTTATTTGGGTGAAGATTTACAGAGCAAATTCACTTTCCATACAGCAGTTCACATATACTTTGTCTCATGTCATTGACCACAGTTTACCACAATGC